GGCCAAATTAGAGTTGTACCACCATGGTCACTGTAAGATACCACCACTCACTCCGCTGTGGAAGGCAATCACAACAACTGCCTTCGGTAATTCAATTCTCAAGCAGATATTCGATTACATCATTACTATCGAATCTCTCATCTTTCATATAATGCAAAGTCTAGATTGATGATTCAGAAGTTGTCTCCATTATTGCGAATAGTAACAACAAAAGAGAAAGTATGAAAATCGATGTTTGCAAACTGAAGAGCCTTGGAAATGAAATGAGGTGGTCTCGCGAATCCTGCACATTCAAAATTTCTAGAAAGTAGGAAAGAAATACATCTAATAAGCATAATTCAACTCAAAAGAAAATGAAAATTGCATTTCATAGTGAACAGTACATAAATGTGCACGTACAGTTTCCAGTTAGATAGAAAGTAAGGGTAGACAAAAGCATTAACAAACTCAAACAATCCTACGGACTGTTACTGCTCAACGGGATGCAAGTTTTCTCATATGAAGATTTCATGCTGTAGTAAGCGTTTACACGTGAAGAGTTAATTTTTTGAAAGAAAGAAGAACAAGACGCCTACTGAGACTGCTCAGTTTTTGTTCTACCATTCTGCTATCAAGTGTTTCTAAATATCACTGCTCAATAAAAAATCAGATAAAAAGCTATAGTCTATAATGGTTTGACATTTCTTATCCGTGTTGAAAATTCCGGAAAAAAGTCCAAATGCAAAACATAGGTATGGATTAAGTCTTTGAAACGTCAACATAAATAGTAAAGCTACTCATTCGTAGTTGACGTGAATACGAGATATATTAAAGCAAGAAAGTAGATGATATGTGGCACTGTACACGCACATGATCATTCGTATGGCAACAACATTCACAAATGCAGAACATTTAAAAATGATTTGTTGTGTCAACAAGTAAGAAAAGGATTAGAATTTGATGTAGAACATCTTATAGGCGCGATCGTACTTGTGGTCCCACATAGATCAAATTTAAACACTTACCTATCTTCTTTTTTTTACATAACCCGCGATCACATCTGCTGTGTTGGTTCCAGAACGTATCTTCAGTGTTGGTCCCAGCACTATCTGTATTCAATACGTTTTGCTCGAATTAATCTCATCGTCCACAGTGGTCTCCGAACATTTAACGTGTTATTTCGACTGCTCCTCCGAGCAGTTTACCGCCTCATCATGGCTAGGAGGTATTCCTACGTGTTGGGTTGCGATGTACAGCAGGGGGATTCATCCCCCCGACAAGGTCTCCTAAGCTAAGAAGTTCAGCGTTTCCATCGGAAAGCCTAGCTAAGAGTAAACCAACACCAGGATCTAATACCGTCTTGGTATCAAACCAGTCACATGGTGAAAAATCTCCCTTTGATCCACAAGGGCGCCGACCGCCTATGGTGGTGACGACTGGGGCAGACTTTGGCCATGCTGACGTCGGAACTCCAAGGAATCACAATGGCTCAACCAGCAAATCTCCGAAAAAGTGGAAGTTGTGCTGGGTTCCGCACAACCAGTGAAGGCGGGCCGTCCAAGTATCCAAGGAGTAATATAATATCACTTATAATAATAACGCTAATAATGTCTAAACTTAACACTTGTGCTTAGTAACATCCAAAAACAGAAGGATTCACCCCGTCACCAAGTCAAATACTGAGATCTATGCAAGAAAAAAATCTGGAAGAAAGAAAGTGTTCAGTAGAAATATATTCTTATTGTGCAAGACCAACAACGTTGATTTTTACCTCGTTTTCACTAACATAGTCTAAGTTACACTCAACAGAAGATTTTAGAAGGGATAAAACATAAGCTTAAGGTTTACAAATTTATCTCAGTGGAATTACTATTATTTTACAAGAAGCCGCTGTCAATAAAATACGCCGTTTTAGCACAGAAACGTTCTCATACTACGATTTAGTCAAGCTTACTGAAGGTATAAACGCAGCTTATTACAAGTATTCTAGATTATTTTGTTTTAACGTTTTGTTTTCTGCCTTCTATAATTTTCATGGCAGGTTACTAAGCGAAATACAACCACAACCCCGCTGACGGGTGATTGCTGTGGCAAAAAGATCGATAGAAATAGCTGAGAGACGTGCGAAACAAAGGACCCGCATGGTGTGGTGGTGAACGCGTTACTCCCCGGAAAGGATAATAGCGCGTTCGTTCCCCACCATAGACACCTGCGGTCCAGAGTTTTGCAAATATCTCAGCAACATTGTGGTTATTCTAGATTAGTTTATTAGCGCTTTCATTTTTGAATGAGTTTCAATGTGCAACAATCAATGAGTAAACATTTTCCTTTGGATGTATCGCTACAGCGCTCCAGATGTTTCCTATTTCTAAAGGTATATCGTTTAGGAATAAATCTTCAAAATGTCTGAAGATGAAAATCTTGAAAATAAACTACTTGAATGAGGAAATGACCGTTTAATGAATTCAACTGATGACTATTGATACTGTCAATAATTACCAAAGAAGAAGTATGGCAAAAAACGATGCCTTCGTGACGACCCTAACAGTACGTCACTTATTAAGGCGACTATTTTACAATCTACAAAAATATACAACAGGCACTGTAACGGAGCAGAGACTTTCCACCGAAACATCCGATTGAACTCAACCTCATTTCTTCTAAATAAGAGAAATAAAACCACAAAAATTAGTTCTGTAGCAGAACAACACTTTTTTTAACGGTTATGATGGGATAAATCCGTATACTTTTACTTTGAAACGGTAAGGTTATAGCTTTCATCATAGAGAATTTGCTCACCACATCACTAAAAATAGGGTCTTCCTTGCTTTAGGAAAATACCAACTTATCAAGAAAGAGTGCTAAGCGCGAAACTTCAGTACTTAATGCGTTCTCGTCAAACGCAGCTTGTGTTTATAGGGTCTTTAATCGTATCGGTTAATTCAACGTCCATCAATATTCAAAAAAAGAAGGTCCGTCAAAAATAGTGTCATAAACTGTCAAATTTACAACTTACGGTCTTACTGCGCTTTTTTTGGTTCTGGAATGACGATGTCTTTCATGATAAGGTGAGGACGCTGGCTAAAACACAAGCACGTTGAATTACAACCAACTATACTTAGATCATGAACTCATACATCTAATGCCAAAACAAAGACTAACAACTTGACAAAGAGAAGTACAACCACAAGAATGCTGACATATGAACGAAACTCAGAACCTCAGGTGGCCTTCGAACCTGCGATTACCGTTATCGGGGCCCACGTGCTATTTACCACACCAACCGAGAGCCCTCTATAGCCGCTACCATCCTAACGGTTTACCACCTCACCGTGGCTAGGTGCTCCTGGGTGTCGAGATGCGATGTACAGCGGGGAAATTTATCCACCCGACAGGGTCTCCCAAACTGAGGAGTTCGGAGCTTCCATCAGGAAGCTTAGCTAAGAGTAAACCAATACCAGGGTCCACCACCGTGATGGTATGAAAGTCGCATGGTGGCAAATCTCCCTCTGATCCACAAGGGTTGCGACTGCCTGTGGTGTTGAAGACTGGAGCAGCCTTCGATCAGGATGATCTCGGGATTCCAGGGAACAGCAAATGGTTTAACCAGCAAATCTCCGAAAAGTAGGGATTACGCTGGGGCCCACACAACCAGTGAGGACGGGTTATTCAAGCATCAAGTATCAAGGAAATATAGCTGCTACCAGTAATTACGGCACTTTAGCCCTGTTAACGGTATACGTGGATTCGAAGCACAACTGAGCTTCCGAGTTCTCCTCATATGTCAGCATTCTTGCGGTTCTACCTCATATCATACTCGATCATAAAAAAAAACTTAGGCAGTAAATAAACAGTTAGCAATAGTAAGTGGAACTCGGGACAATAATGATTTCTACGACTAAAATATGATAAAAACATTAAGGTATATCTAACGTCATTGGAATACAACTGTAAACCTTAAGGAAAGGAATATTTCGAAACCACCAGGATCGTACGTGATGATTCGAAATGGTGAACAGACACAGCAATGCTGAACCCGCCACCGTATCGATTCACCTGCAGTCGATCGATAGTCTGCAAGTCAATGGTAAATCAGGTCATCGTGACAGTTCATTGACCGCGATTATTACAAAATTTGCGTCGCAAAACTGCTTGAAGGCCCTCCATACGATAAAAATTTAGGAGTCAAATTGGATTTAGAAAGGCAAAATATAAGTAAACAACATCGAGGAAAAATTCAGGGAAACTAACTGCTTTGTAGAAATCTATGAGATACGAGATAAAAAATGAAAGACTACAGAGATTCTTTCGATGATATTTTTATATAAGAGATAAATAAAATTTCAGCGCATATAGTAGGTAGATTATGAAGTGGCAATCAATCAGAGTAAAAGAAGTCAAAGAGAAGTCCAAGAAGTAAAAAAATTCAGTGACTGAATAGAACGGAATTCGTACTGTACGGGACGGTAGTCTGTTATAGAATCTGTACTGCTTTCCATTTCCTACCGACAATAATAAACCTTAACTGTCACATGCACTGAGTGCACAGCGTACTGTGGGATGTCTTACCGTATCCGGAATGGACACTACCATTTGTGAGCGTGATCCACTTGAACTACGCTCATTCACATCGTTACGTACCGCACGATGATTTGAAACGGCGAAAAAAAACACAAATAAAATGAAGAATATAAAAAGGAACCGAAAATGTAAAAATAATCCAGGAAAAAGCTACATTGTGTATAGCTATGCAAATGTGACATGATGTATATATGCATATACGTGTGTATACACATATACACATATATATACATATACAATATATGCAATACACAGTGTATGGACATGTAAATGGATGTATGGATACAACAATCCAAATGTGTACTTTAGTACTTTTCTAAAATTGTCTTCATGTTCAAAAATATGATAAGAAATGATGTCTGTCTGTTTGTGTGCAGTTCGCGTGAGTGCCGTGTGCAGTGATTGTGGATGAGTTGAGATACCCGTATGGGCGAAAGTCAATGAACATTTACATGAGCGCGTTGTTTTGGAAACGTACGAGGCAAGGAAACGTCGTCGGGTTGCGACCAAGACGCTCTGGATGGTGGCCGGCGCCGATGGTGTGGGTGCTGTGCGGTGATGTTGGCGGGTGCGCAGCGTACGCGGCCAATTCGCCGCCACAATCGATGAACGGACTGGCCGGTCGGGCACGTCGACGGTGCGTAGACGAGCCGAGTCGCCGAGTGACGGAGGGGCGAGGGAGCCGCCGACTGCACTCGGCGTGCGCGTGCCCCGCCCGCAGCTCCGCCCAGACGGCCAGATGGCCACTGGCCGACGCTACGGCGGTACTCCTCGGTCGGACATGTCTGCGTGCTGGTCTGTCTCACGGACAGAAGCCGATAGCTGGACGCCAAGGAGTATTGGAAGTGCGTCAGTGGTCATAGACAGCGTTCACAGAGAACGGATCATTGATCCTGTAAGCGTTGTGACTGCCGGTTTCGAAGAAGGGTTAACTCGATCATAGAACCGCAATATAATGGTAGTGTACAACTGATGCGAGGAAAAGCAACGAGATGCTGATCAGATTGTTGTCTCTAGAGCTGAAGGCATTATGTATGAGAGGTTGTCTCTAGAGCTGAAGGCATTATGTATGTGAGCTACAGTAGGAGCAGATCGTCGATGTAGTAGGTGAATGCACAACTCACGCCTTTTTTTTATTTTACTTAACTCGTTTTCACGTCTACTGCGCGGATCCCAGCACTTTTCACATCCAATTCGTTTCCTCGTATCCATCATCCACGAAGGTCTCCCAAGATATTACATGTGGCTTCGGTTGCTGCTTGAGGATTTTCATTTCATCTTGAATGTCGTAGAATGCTGGTCGAGTAATTCTCTCTAGAGTCCGGAGATAGCCGGGCTGAAGCGTTCTCAGTTGGATTGCAGAGGATGACACGTGTAGTACCAATTTCCTGACCCCGGAGGGATTAGAGGCTTGGTTGGTGCGGAGCGGAATCGAACCAGAACCGTGGTCGTAATGACCAACATCACTACCATTATGCTATCCGCCTCGTAATCACAAGCTTGCACAATGGAACTAACAAAAGAAGCTCTTTTTTCCAGATCTGGGTCTGAAAAATATACTTCATTTACAGGATTAGTGAGATCACCAACAGTTCACGTACTCTTGACCGGGCATATGACCGTTCGCTTTCATTACAACTGTTTTAGCAGATTGTGCTTCCCTTAGTGTCCGTAGCTGTCGTTTTCACAAATGCGTAATCGATATTTTATTTCAATTCGCACACATAAAATTCCGACGAAATGGTGAGCAACACTGGTAACGCTTACCGTTTCAATAACTAGGGAAATATAAATACATAAACATAAAATCAGCATAAATAATCGATATACTTACTTATATGTCCTTATAGACTGAGCTTGTTGAGCTAATACGAGGTTGGTATAGTTGTTGTTGTCGTTGTTGTTGTTGTTGTTGCTGTTGTTGTTGCTATTGTTGGTCGGTGCCTGACGTTTCGGCGATTTCGCCTTCCTCAGAGCCGTGCTATTACGAGTGGGACTGTCCAAATTGACAACAACAACAATAACGGCAATATACCAACCTCGCATCAGCTCAACAAGATCAGTCCATAGGCTTACCGTTTTAGTTGTGTACTTCGTAAGTTAGATATGTCTAATCGTCCAGTGTTCTCATAGGATATTTGAGATCTCGCATAAATCAAAACATTGATCTAAGAGATGAGCTGCTGGACTTGTAATCTTGAGTGCTCCTAGGTTTTGTGTTTAGACCATAACCTAACTGAACTTCAAAACTTCCACCATTTTACTTTCGTACCTAGCGCTTCTTGTTGGTGAAAATATCCGAAGCCACCGGATGTACCTCGGCGTGACCGTGCTTGCCAGTCTTCGAGTTGCTTATTTCAACAATCGTACAGGTACGGCCCTTGATCATGACGTCCTCTTACGAAGAGCTGAGCACTGTTTTGGCAAAGTAGCTGCTGCTCCAGACTCGGTAGATGCAAAGTGCAGAGGCTAAGGCTAACGTGAAAGGGCAAGTGTGGCGCAGCGGTCGGAGGTGCCCTGCAACACACGTGGAATCGATCGCAGTGTCCATGGCTCACCAAGCCTTTCATCCCTCCGGTGTCGGCAAATTGACACCGGACCTATTTGGGAGGATAGCAGCACTGGGCCGATACATCGGTAGGCCACCGCGAGTCATTGTAAAGGCCAGATATGCATTCAATCACCTCCAAACGATGCTTAATGAAGTAGAATGCATGGCGCATCCCTCAATGATTGTACAGTGCAGAGAGCTTTATCCTTTATCCTTTATACCTAGTGCTTACATAACGGAATCCTTTAGTTTTCTATCTAGATACTTTTTCACTTGTATCTATAGCGATGTTAATATTTATCAACTGTTCTCTTCGTTACATAACAATCGTGTGATAGTTCTGGCCTCGTGCAATTCATATTTCTGACTAGAGCTAATAAACCATTACACGACGTCGTAACCTCTATAGCAGTCATGTGACGAGAAAATAAAGCCACTCTCAATTTTGGTTAGTCAAGTTTTAGGTCACGATGAATTTCATCAACTCTAATAAAAACTCTTGGAGTTTTAGCTCTCCACCTATGCGACACAAATTACAGTATTACCCAAAGACACAATTCGGATTTTCTAGAACCCATGAAGCGTATTTCTTTCAATTTCTTGCTTGAAAACCTGTGTTTTGGAAAGAAACCCAGTAGAACAACATGATCTTTCTTGTTGTATCGTTTATGTTTGTAGTTGCTGCTGTTACTTGCGAAATTTTAGAACTTCAAATTGCGCTTTCAATTTTTGCAAAAGTTTCCGTTATTAGAATATTTAAATTTAAAAGTGGTTTGTACAAAATTTGCATGTTGTTAGTGCGGCAGTAAAATTCTCTCGCATAAATCTATATAGTTCTGAACTCTCCTCCCAACGCTTTACCGCCTCGTAGTGGCTGGGAGGTGTTCTCGTTCGTCGGACTGCGATGTACAACGGGGGATTCATTCCTTGGCAAGGTCACCCAAGGTGAGAAGGAGTCCGGCGTTTCCATCAGGAAGCCTAGCTAAGAGTGCACCAATACCAGGATCCACCATCGTCCTGGTATCAAAGTCGCATGATGCCAAATCCCCTCTGATCCACAAGGGCTGCGACTGCCTGTGGTGGTGAAGACCTGGGGCAGACTTTGGCCAGGCTGACCTCGGGATTCCAGGGAGCCACAATGGCTCAACCAGCAAATCTCCGAAAATTGGAGATTGTGCTGATCCCACACAACCAGTGAAGACGGGCCATTCAACTATCAGGTAAGTATCGAGTTCTGAACTCTTGAAGTATTCTGGTAATCGAGAATTTATCATCAGTTATCGAAAAACCGGCTTCGTCACGAAGAGGTTAAGCACGGTTATGTTCTGCGTAGATTTAACTCTACAGCAATCGCTGACAGTAAATTTTATCATAAACAGCAACAGACTAAACAGAATCATCTTGACGCTAGAGGAAGTGTTTCCAATACTCTTCTCTTATACCTTTCATCCGATCTGCTATGGTTTCTTGGGTATTAGAAATGGAGGATTTACTGCTCCAAGTGAAATGAATGTATTCTTTCTTTGATGAGCTTACACGAGGTTGATAATGATGTTTATCAAAAAAAAAATGTTTTGAAATGTTACTACGCTTTGTGCTAGCTGAAAATAACGACTTCTGCACGATGTGCGCGATGATTATGTCCGGAAGAAAAACAAGTTGTTATCACCGGACATTATCATTATATTCACCATCAGCATCGTGTATAAAAGGGCATCACTGAGTGAGGATGTCTCATTCGAGGAGATGGCTCACTGAAGAAGACCTGACTCGACACGAAGGCGAAGCTGCCGCGTCGAGACGAATAGCAAGCGAGGACCATCGACTCGGATCATCGGCTCTGAAGAAGACGAAGTCGTCGAAACGTTAGTCGAAGATAAACATCATTATCAACCTTGTGTAAGCTCATCAAAGAAAGAATACGTATTGATTAGTGATACCGAGGCTCAAGGAAAGTCGGTTTCGAAATGAAATGAATGTTTTTTTCCTTTTCTTCGTCAGCACACCCTATAGTCGTTTGAAACAAATTTCTTCCTTGTACATGAAGAATGAACCTATGGTGGAGACAATACGCAATAACTGCCACGACCGACTTTCAATTAACCTCGGCATTGATCAAGTAATTTTCTTCGTATTTTTGTTGAGCAAACGCGAGGTGTTATTATTCTTTGTTCACGA